TGCGTGATGAAATGAACAGCTGTTTTGAAGAAGAAGAGACATTATTGGGGGCTGGGGATTTAGCTCAGCGGCATAAGCGCCTGCCTTGCAAGCCGGCAGTCATGAGTTCGATCCCTGGTACCGATAAAAAGGAAAAAGACAAAAAAAAAAAAAAAAGAAAAAGCGACATTATGGTATCCAGTGCTGATTCCATATTATCATGTTGTGAAATCCAGTGTGCTTTTATTCTTTGTTCAGAGTGGTTTTAGTCTGTTTTGTATTATTTAATTTCAACATATATAAAGGTATAAACAGGTATTTTGAAGAGCCCTTGTGGATTTTCCCATTGTCTGGTTTTGGAAGCCTGTAATACCTTCATTACTCTGTTTTGATCAGTTTTATACTATTTTTTTTGTATGAATTCATGGTGTGTGAAGATCTAGACAACTATTTAGAAGAAAACAAGAGATACGATGGTAGCTATGGGAGTCTCCTGTTGTCTTGCTTTGAAATCTGTGTCACTTTCATTGTTTTCTTCTGATCTGCTTTGTTCTGTTTTGTTTTACCCTCTTTAAAATTAAAAAAAAAAAAAAAGTCTTAGATCTGTTAGATGGGAAAAGGGGCACGTAGAAAAATAACACCCCAAAATCATGGAACTCAATTTCTAGTGCCCCTTGATTGAATGATAAATATGGTAGTTTACTTGTTTACTCACTGTTTTGGTTACTTTTGTCTCATTGATGAGACGAAATACCCTATGCCCAAAATTAAACAGGGATAGATTTATTTAGCTTACAGTTTGTGGAGGTTTCTATCCATACTCAGCTGGCTCCAAGGCAGGGTGGTGCAGCTAAGGGGCAACTATTCATGGTGTCAGATACCAAAAGTGATAAGAGCTAAAGAGCAAAAGGGAGGAGCAAACCTCTGTCCTTTATATTGTATGCCAGCTTCCCGCCCCAGGGCAGATGCAGCACTCACACCGCCAATCCCAGCACTAGACAATCAATCACAAACTCTAGATTCAGCTGCCTTTGAAAGCCCTCCCCTGACCGTGTGGAGGACATCCAAATAACACGCGCCTTCTCCCCACAACTTAACTTACCTGGGTTGAACTATCAGATGCTTTGAAATGAAGCAAATTTATCATCAGGTAGACAGTGGACTCTTCTTTTATACAGTGGCTATTGTTTTTGCTTATTTTACATATGAAAAAGCCATCCTGTGACTAAGTATAGTCTATAACATTTTAAAAAATCTTTAACCACTGAAGTAGCTTAAAAATATTTTTCATACTCATTAGCCCATCTCTTCAGATTATCTCCCTGCAGCAAAAAGAATTTGTGTGTATTTGAAAATTGCTATACTACATAACTGATCAGAAAAGTGTTCACTTTTCCAGGGAATAAAATTTGTATTTTTTTGTTATGTTTGATACTATTGTAAATGAAGTTATGTTCAACTATTTCAAAGAAAGAGACATTATGGTAGGTACCGTTAATTACGTGTTGTCTTATGAAATACTGTGTTGCTACATTGGTCTGTTTTGATCTGCTTTGTTATGTCCTGTTTTGCCTTAATCTCTTTAAAATAAAACAATTTGTATTTTGAGACAGCATTTTGCTGTGCATTTCAGACTAGCCTAGAACTTACTTTGTAGCCCAAGCTTCTGAACTCCCAGCAATCCTCCTGCCTTAGCCAAGATCTTGAGTGCTGGGATTATAAGGATGCACCATCACAACTAACCTAAACTTCATACTCTTACCCATCAAATCTTCTGTACAGGGGCTGGGGATTTAGCTCAGTGGCCTAAGCACCTGCCTTGCTAGCAGGCGGTCGTGAGTTCATCCCTGGTACCAATAAAAACTGAAAAAGACAAAAAAAAAAAAATCTTCTGTACAACTATCTCTCTACTCTTGTTTTCTTTGGGGTTTTTTTTTTTGGGGGGGGGGGTCTTTTTCGTTTTTATCGGTACCAGGGATTGAACTCATGACTGCCTGCTTGCAAGGCAGATACTTATGCTGCTGAGCTAAACCCCCAGCGCCTACTCTTGTTTTCTTAATTGGCTGCAGTAAATGACTCAGAAAACTTATCAGAAAAGGTCGATATATTTTCTTAACCCCTTGGTATCTCAGAATGTCTTCCAGGTGCCTTCATACACAAATATAGTAGTAAGTTGATAGACTATATATGATTCTTGGTTCAAAATTGTTGTTCCTTAAAACTCTGTAGATGTTGTTCTGTTGTCTTTAGGCATTTAAAATTTTAAGAGAAAAATCTGAAGTGAGGCTGACTTTTGCCCCTTTATAGATAATCTGCTTTCTCTGGATCCTTGCAGAATTTTTTCTTTATCCTTGAAATTTAATAAAGTCATGAGGATATTTCTAGGTGTTGCTTTCTTCCCCTTAAATCTTATTTTTTTAATGAAAAAATTTTTTTTGTCGTTTGAGACAGGATCTCACTATGCAGGTCAGTGAGTTGAACTTACTTTGTAGCCCAGGCTGACCTCAACTCTTAGCCATCCTCCTATATCAGCTTTCTGAATGCTGGGGTTACTGGCGTGCACCACCATGTACAACATTATTGTTTCAACTTCATTTGTTTTGTTCTGTGTTTCAGGTATTCCTTTTATACATAGATAGTATCTCTTAGGCAGGCCTTCTGTGTCCATCTTTTCTCTTGTTTTCTCATTTTAATTTCTTTTTCTTTGTATTCTGTAAGAATATCTTTTATTTTTTCCATTTACTGCAGGAATTTTATTTTGTAATTGACCCTTTTTATGTGCTTCCTTTGAATGGAAGGCCTTGATCTCTTCTATGTGGTCACACAGCACCTACTTTAATTAAACCCACGTGGGTAACGAGCTCTCAAATAACATGGTCAGTGATTTCTATAGATTTGTTGTAGAAAGCCAGGTGTGGTGGTATATGCCTGTAATTCCAGCACTCAGGAGGCTGAGGCAGGAGGGTTGTTGCAAGTTGGAGTCCAACCTGGCTACGTAGTTCAGGGACAGCATGAATTATACATTGAGATCTTGTCTCAAAAAAAATAAATAAGTTTGCTGTAGACATAGATTTCTGTAGGCTGGTACATTGGTGGAGGCATTTTCTTGATTACTTTGCTCTATTCCTTTCCTCCAAACTGTGGTCTTATGACCTTTTCAGTGATTCAGTGGGAACAAAAATGTGGTCCTCCTCTGGATCATATACTTTTGAAACATGCTGTCAGATTACTGTAGGGGAGCAGTTGTAACAGTTTATGCTTTCAACATTAGTATATAAGAAGTAGGTATTTATCCCTTTCTTACTATTTTGTTTGAGATAGGGTCTTATTGTATAGTTTAGTCTGACTTCAAATGCACAGTGATCCTCCTGGGAGTACAAGGACACCTGGCCCTTACCACCTGGAGATGTTATCTGTTTTTGATCTGATAAAGAGGGGAGGGGTTTTTGGTATCTGAGGGTTTTAATTGCTCTTTCCTTGAATAGTGAGATGTAAATCTGTTTGAATGTTTATTGACACCTTCTATGTTGTTTTTCATTTTTGAGTTTCCTGTTCTTTGAATTCATTCTGTCATTTTATTTTAGTCACTACTTATATATATGGATGAAATATCTATACAGTAGGCACTACTTCCTACCATTAAAAAAATTTAATAGCATTTCCCTTCTAGTGTGGATTGAACCCAGAATCTCTGTATTGAGCTACACCTTCAGCATTTTTTTTTTTTCTAATTTGAGACAGAATCTAGCTAAGTTGCCTAGGCTGGGCTTGAATTTACAGTCCTGCCTCAGCCTCCCAGAGTGCTAGGATTACAGGTGTGTGCCACTGTACCTGGCAGTAGCCTGTTATTATATGAGTTAATTAATTATTATAATGCTGCCATTTATCAAAAAAGCAGAAGTATTTTTTGAAGATTTCCCATATAGCCAGCATCCAGTTACATAATGTTTTTGAATGTTGACAGTGGGTAAGTCTTTACAAGTCAAATTGGCTTTCTTCTTTGTGTAGAAACCTGCCAGAATGAACTGTAATAAAGAAGGCAGAGGAGTTAGTAGTTCTTTTTTTTTTTTAATGGGCTGATAGTTTTTACTAATAATATCTATCTGTGAAGCAACAATGTAATCTGACTTTATTGATGAACAAACTGAGAGGTTAACCTTACAAGTAGGACACTTCCTGAGATAATATTTAAAGGTAGAAGCATGTCCTCACTCTTTGCTGATTACAGGTCCCCTCATCACAGTAAAATGGATATATTTTAGAGACAAACCTTTCATATTTAATTGTACATGCTCATGTTAGAAGTGACTAATACAGAACTATTTTTGCCTTGTTTTTTGAGTCAGAATCTTGTGTAGTCCAAGCTAGCCTAGCATTCACTGTGCGGCCCAGGCCAGTTTTATACTCATAACAATTCTACCACAGCCTCCTGATTATAGGCATGTGCTGCCATATTCAAATAGAAAAAAATACAGAAATAATGTAAATAATTTAAAGGTGATTATTATACGTGTTTGTCATATGTGTAAAAGATATAAAGTATTCACTTGTGTTATGTGTGCCTGGCTGTTGCAGGTTGACAAATGGGTTTCTTTTTTTTTTTTTGAGACAAGCTCTAAATTGCTGAATTACTTAGACTAGGCTCAAACTTGTGATCTTTTGGCCTCAGCCTCTCAGAGTACTGGGGTTACAAGCAAGCACCATGCACGTAAGTGTTGATAACTGGCACAGTTAAAACAAAACAAAACAAAACTTCATCATATGAATGATTTCTGTGTTAGGTGGTATATACCTGTGTATCTCAGTCCTTGGGAGGTTGAAGCAGGAGGATTGCTATGTGTGCGAGGCTAGCTTGAGCTACTTAGGGAAGACCCTGTCTCAGAAAGAAAAAAAAGAAAAAAATACAGTTTCACTGTAATCTTTGTAGGCAGTTTGTGACATCCTTTATATCAAAGTTTTACTGTAGAATGCTGGAAATTATATATTTTGTGGTGCTAATTGTTTTTGTATTTCTTTTATAGAAAAAGATGGCAAAGCATTTCATCCAACTTACGAAGAAAAGTTGAAGCTTGTGGCTCTGCATAAGCAGGTTCTTATGGGTCCATATAATCCAGACACTTGTCCTGAGGTTGGATTCTTTGATGTGTTGGGGAATGACAGAAGGTAACATGTTTTGTTGTGTGGCAAAAAAAGAATCACTTTTGAAAAAGGGCATAATGTAGATAGCTGGTTCCTTAACTAAGGATTTTGTTTTGTTTTGTTTTGAGTCAGGGTCTCACTGTGTAGTCCAGTTTGGCCTTGAAATCACTATGTAGCCAGAGTGACCTTGTGGTGTTTCTGCCTTAGCCTCTTCAGTACTTGGGATTACAGGCATGCCACCACCGTGCCTGACTCTTAAGAACTGAAAGGTTTATTTGGCTTTGGCTTGGAGAGACTGTGGCTAAATACTATGGTGATATTTATGTACTCATCTGATTAAGAACATAGGACGAATACAGTTTCATTTGATTCTTCTTAAAAAATATTTAAAAACAACCATTTCAAATATGTAGTAATGGATTCCCTTACTGAAACATGGAATTGTGCCAGAAGAGAATATGTGGAGTATTTTGTTCAATTAAAGATAAAATCTGATATGGGGCTGGGGGAATAGGCAGTGGCACAGTGTCTGCCTGGCAAGCGCAAAGTCCTGAGTTTCATTCCAGTACCTAAAAAAAAAAAATCTGATGTAAGGAAAACAGAACATTAGTGCCTTTTTTGCTGTGTAGGAATCACCAGCAATATAGTGAAGTTTTGGATTATGTGTGACACAATCTAACCTAAAGAGTTAGTATATGTTTGTTGGAACTTGATCCAGGCATGGTGATATACACGTGTAAGCGCAGCACTTGGGAGGACAAGGCAGGAGAATTGCCACAAGTTCAGGGACAGCCTGAACATAGTGAGTTCATGACCAGCTTGAACTACATAGAGAGACCCTGTCTTAGGGATAAAAGAAAGAAACTTGAAATTAATGAGCCTTTTGCTTGATAGTAGAGTCATTCTTCACTTTGGTTATAGTTTGAGAATGTTTATATTCAGGTTTAAATTAAATCAGGTTCTCATTCTGTTAAGAAGAAGAGATAACTTTTCTTATTGTTCCTTACAGGAAAGAATGGGCAGCCCTGGGAAGCATGTCTAAAGAGGATGCCATGGTGCAGTTTGTCAAGCTCTTAAATAGATGTTGTCATCTCTTTTCAACGTATGTTACGTCCCACAAAATAGAGAAAGAAGAACAAGAGAAAAAAAGGTGATGTTTGAAGGCAAGGAGCACTTTTGCTGCTTTATGCAGAGTCTGTGCAGGTTGGGTCTTACCTTCACTCCTCACTTCTAGTGGCAGAGATGAGTAGGTGTTTGCGTTACAAGTTTGAGCGGGGAGAACACTTGTGTCAGATGAGTTTCTCTGTAGCTCAGCCTGCCCCTCCTCCCTGTCCGTGGGTCTGACATGCCCTTGTTGCTGTCCCCCTTGAGCTTCCGGCATATTCTCCCTCAGTGGTTTGCACTTGTGCTGTGTGGTAGCGCCTTACGCATACATGTTGGCCCCGGTGCCTTGTTAATTATTTTTAGAGTGTGGAGCAGGAGCTGCTGAATGTGCTGTTTAGGGATTCCCTGTTGTAGTTGTGAATTAAAATTATGGTTAACACCTTTTTTATGTGGTAGTTATATTTTTAATGACTGAATTTTTAAAATTCTAGATAATTAAAATCACACAATGAAACCAATTTTCCCTCAGATTATACTTCAGAAACAGTCGATTTTCTATTTTCCTATCTTACTCTTGATTGAAAATAATAGGCTGAAAATAACCTGAGAGTGAGGAAGAAGGTAGAAACCATGGAAGATGGATGCAGGAATAATGAAAGCTTGCCTGCAGACCAAAAGCTACCTCAAATGTAGTCAAGGGTTGCTGCAACATTGTTACAGTGCAGTTTTTGTGCTTGTAGTTCTGACCTGGGTTAGCAAGAGACACAGTGCCAGCTAGAGTTTAACTCCTGTTTAAGAGGATGGTAAATAGCTCAAATATATTTTCAGAAAATATTTGTCCAAAATAACTTTTTTTAATTCAGAGGAAAAAATTTGATTCTCAGAAGGATGGAATATAGATTTTGACTTACATGCTGTTGTCTTTGTTTGGAATCCATGAGGTCTGGCTGTAATGTAATTGGACATATATATTATATATAGCCTTTTAAGTTATTTTAGTGATAATTCAAATATTTGTTTTAATTAAGTATTGTCCAAAGTTACATTTCATCTTAATATGTAAAACTGTATTTTTCCTTTTGAAACTATACTTCTGTCATTTGTAAAGGGCTCTTTCTTTTTCCTGGAACCAGAAATTTAACTCAGGGCCTGGTGCTTGCCAGGCAGGTGGCTTGCTGCTGAGCTATATTCCCAGCCCTAAAGACCTCTGTTAAGGCTTTTAAGACTGAACTTGACTGAACCTGGAACCTGAGCTCCACTTTTAGGGCTCCTGCCCTGCATTAAAGTCCTCAGGCTGTTGCTGTATTTTGAGCCCTGCCCATGGCAGTTATCCTTGTTAATCATTTACAGGCACTGAGGGCAGCACAGGGAGGAGCCCAGATCCTCCTCAGGGTGGGGTACAGTTGGTATCTTGTGGGAGAGTGCTCTCTGCATCGTGGTGGACGAAGTAAGATGTCTATTTCTAGTGTGATATAGTCTGTTTTCTTTGGAAAGGAGCTTTTAGGGATGGGCTAGAGCTGGATAAAGGCTGTGCTTGGAAGTCTAGTTACATTTCTCTTTCTTTCTTTGCTATGTAGCTCAGCCTCCCCAGTGCCAGGATTACAGGCATGTGTCAAGCATCTTTTTTTAAAATTAGAAACTTACAAAATTTTTAAAATTTCAAAAATAATACAAACGTGAGTGTTTTTCAAACAGTATATATTATTTTCCTATTTCTGACAAAATACAACGAACACATTGAAATTTTCCCTTCCCATCTTTCTTTTGCTTTCATTCTTTTTTGCATAAATAATAACTGACAAATTTAGAGTATATCCTTCTAGACCTTTTTCTGTGTTGCCTGCCCATGCTTCACGAAACGTTAATCTTTACATACTAGGTTGCATAGTTCTATGCTTTCTTAATGGCTACATTAGGTACATTTGCATTTTTAACACCTTTGCTGAGTGCTTTCCAACCCCCTGCCAAGACTCAAGGATGTGGTGGTATATGGTAGGCAGTCTCTGTACTGGCTGAACATAGACTTCTGTGTGTGTGTATGGTGCTAGGGATAGAACCTAGTGCCTTGTGCATTCACGGAAAGCACTTTACCACTGAGCCAATTCCTGCCCCTATTGCCCCTGTCAATAATTATTGTGATGTGATCTTAAGTATTTCAAGATTGATTCCATATGGTAAGTTTCTCTCTCTTTTCTTTTTTTCTTGTTTTTGAGACAAGGTCTTGCTATATAGTGCAGGTTGGCCTTGAACTTGCTTAGGTAGCCCAGACTGGTCATGAACTCATTGTGACCCTCAGCCTTCCAAGTGCTGGGATTCATATGATAAGTTTCTGTTGGTGAAGTACATGCACTTCAGTTCTTTGTTTTAACATTAAGGTCTTGCCTTGTAGCTCAGTCCAGCCTTGAACTCTCCTAGTCCTCCTGCTTGTTCCTCCTGAATACTGGGATTATAGATATTGACCCCATGCACAGTTGTGTTTCAGACTAGATAGAGATTGTCACATTGTTCTCTGAAATGATTATGTTACTTTCCATTGGAAATGAAATGGAAATCATTTTTAAAAAAGAGTCACTGTGTAGAGTCCATTCTCTGCTATTTACCTTGCAGGAAGGAAGAGGAGGAGCGAAGACGACGTGAAGAGGAGGAAAGAGAACGTCTGCTAAAGGAGGAAGAGATGCGTAGGCGAGAAGAAGAGGAAAGGCTGAAGCGGGAGGAAGAGGAGAGGAGGCGAGCAGAAGAAGAGCGGCTCCGGCTGGAGCAACAAAAGTAAGCCTGTGCCAGCTTACATTTGCAACCAAGAAGTGAGCTGCCTGGTGCTGATGCCGCCTCTGTTTTTACCATTATGTTCCTTAGAATATTTCTGTGATTTGTATGACTGGGAGGTAGACTAGTATTAGCTACTTTTTATTTTTATCAGTGATCTGTTATCAAAGGAAAGTATTGGGAGAATTTGGGGTTAATGTGCAGAACCCAAGGACTAGAAACAGGACTGGCTTTCATGGCTGCTCTGTCTGTCTCTACATGTACGTGATCTCATCTTTCCTTCCCAGCTTGTCTCTCTGCTTGTGTTCTTCCTGGTATCTGCCAAGTGGTGGTCTCTGCATTGATGTGTACAAGGATATCTCAGCTTGGATTTTTTTTAATGTGATTTATTTTTCCATGTGTCTGACAGAAGCAGGCTGAAATCTGAGATCCAGTTAAAAATTTTGAGGATAGAGAATCTAGTCGGCACAGTCTGTGTCTGCAAAGTTTCAATCCCTGAACCCTAGTATGGGCCTTGGAGGCTGAAACTATTGCATAGTAAGGCTGTGAGAGCAACTATCTTAAAAGGGATTAATTCTTCAAAAGGGAGCCATAGGGACTAGGGATTTAGCTCAGTGGCACAGCGCCTACCTGGCAAGCGCAAGGTCCAAGTTCGATTCCTAGTACCAAAAAACAAATTCCAAAGGGAGCGATAGGTGCAAAGAAGTAGTGGTTGATACCGACTCAGCACTGTGAGAAAGAAGGCTGAGGGTTGTAGGGTGATATGGTATAGAGGTTAAACCAGGCAATGTAACTTCTAATTGTTTCTCAGAAAAATCTTCAGTGCTAACTTCAAACTGATTGAAGCCTTCATTCTGCTTTGAAGAGAGATTACAAATGCTGCTTTTTTTAGGGTGGGGTGTCCTAAAAGGGCCCTGGGTCATGCTCTATACATGAATTTGAGCATTTGCTTTGTTATCTGTTTATCTGGTTTTTATTTAATAGATAGCTTTGAGGTCTCTGTTAAGTGATCACAAAAGTGAGTTATGAAGCATGTGATTTTCATGCGAAAGAAAATGGAAGCATTGTAATAGTTTCATAGAAGTTATTACTTCTGGACCCAGATACTATTTTCAATGTTTCCCCTTTAGTAGGGGAACTTTAAATTAAGTGCTGCAGATTTTCCACTGGCTTTATTTAACTTTACCATGGTTACTTTAGTATCTTTCAGCTATTCTGCCTTTTCCTGTTTTTCATGTATTTAGGAAGGGGAGCCATAGCCAGTAGTCCAGTACCACGTCTCTGTTTCACATGACAATCCATTGTTTTACAGTGTGGTGATGAATTAGTAATCCCTGAGCCAGACTGTCTGGATTTGAATCCTGGCTTTGGCATCTGCCAGTGCTAGACTGTTGGGCAACTTATTAAGCAACCTTATGTGATTATTGTGAGACCCATTTGGGCTAGCGCATATATGTACTTTGAACACTGTGTGACATATAGTAATTTTGATGATGGTGATAATGGTGTACTTATTACTCCATCCCAAATTTGCCTTGGAAGAGTAAAAAATTAAAAGGCCTGCTGAGTGTGGTGGCACATACCTGTAATACCAGCACCTCAGAAGCTCAGCCAGTAGGATCAAAAGTTTGAGAGCAGCCTGGGCTACCTAGCGAGACCTGTCTCAAAGCAAAAACAAAACAAAAAACCAATTAGAATTGATTTATTTTCCTAAATCTTTCTTGTAGGACCTTGGGACACATGCTGATTGATATATGTTGCTAGCTTAGTCATGGTTAAGAGTGACAAACTATAAAATAATAAGGAAATTTTATTTTGTCATGCACAATCTCCTATAGTCAGACTAGTGTATATTTTTTAATGTTTTTAGGCAGCAGATAATGGCAGCTTTAAACTCCCAGACTGCCGTGCAGTTCCAGCAGTATGCAGCCCAACAGTATCCAGGGAACTACGAACAGCAGCAGATTCTCATCCGCCAGTTGCAAGAGCAGCACTATCAGCAATATATGCAGCAGTTGTATCAAGTCCAGCTTGCACAGCAACAGGTATGATAGCCAACCCCAGAACTCAGCCTTAGAGAGGGTTTTCCATTTCATTGGAACCCTTTTTTTCTTTTAACAATTGCCAATGAATTTTGTATTAGTTAGCTTCGAAGGTATAAAATAGCTTCCAGGTGATCTCTTAGGCAGAAGTTGGTAGTCCTGGAACCATGAGGACCAGGGTAACCAGCCTTAGTTCAGAGACATCCTGCAGGCAAAGCATTGTCAGTTGGGTGGGCAGCTTTTCACGGAGAACTCTGCTCGTTAGCCCACAGGCTATTTCTTAGAACAGTACATTCATGTCCAACTTCTATAACAAAATACCGTGCTTTGGTTAAGGAAAGGTAATTTAGGTGAGAGAATGTGGGACTAGGAGTCTAGTCTGTGAACCTATTTTGACACGGCAACATAGTGATTTTACATTGTTTTTACATTGTTAGAAACATAAAATACCTCCTTAAACTTAAATGTGCTAAATGTGACTTGTTTTCACTTGGAAAATAGTTACCACCTATCAAAAAACCAGAGTGAAGAAAATAGTTACATTTCTTATTATGTGACATAATCTGTGTTGTTTTCCCCAAGATCTTGAAATTCCTTGAATATATATCGGTGAGAAACTAGAAGCTCTGCAGGTTTTATGTAATCCACAAGAGGAGGAAAAAGATGACTAACCCAGAATTCATTCAAGATACTTTGGAGGGATTCTTTTCTGTCTTCTATGGCCCGTTTCTACTTCAGTGCATTGCTTCCCTTTTTCCTGTTGTCTTTAATAGTCTTGAGATAATTTTTTCTTAGGATAGCTTATATAAATAGTCCTATTTATAGGTTGTCACTTAATGAGGAGAAAATCAACCTAAAAGCTAAATCCAAGAATCTTTGAAGTAGTGTTGGAAAGTCACAATTGAGATTAGAATGATCAGATATACTTTATTCCCGTCAATTGAGTCTGGGAATAGATAATCATAGACAACCTTGGAATTCAGCTTTAGAAAGAGGGTTTTAGTTCATTGCAATCTAAGCTGTTTTGTAAAAATTACCAGTGAATTTTCCAGGAGGGGAAGCAAACAAAGGGAACTTCACCCCTATTAATTTTTAGGCAGAATTACAAAATAGGAACACTCGTTAATTTGGGAGTATAATTTAATGAACTGGCTTTTTGTTACATTGTTCTTATACCTTTTTGTGCTTTTTAAACTTCTCAAAGTATAGAAAATAAGTAATTACAGTCTGTTGTATGTAATAGATACATACAAATGGCAGTGAGAGCCCAGAGAAGTGATATGGCTCATTCTGCTGGCAATTCAGGCAAGGCTTTGTGGAGAAGGACCATTTGAACTCAGCTAATTGATCATCAGCAAGATGCTTTTGTTCTCTTTCCTGTCATACAGAGTTCTGAGCATACTTACTTGTTTTGGTTTTATGAGTGGTTTTTCTAGTGGTTGGTACTCTTTCTATAAAATGAACTTAAAAATTAGAATCTACACTTTGGGAGGTGTTTTAAAGTCCTAAGTACGTTACTGTCCTGTGCTAGCAGCAGAGAGGTATTGCTCTTCCTTTAAATAGTGACAGAAGTGATAGTAGTGGCTTGTAAGTAACAGATTAATATGAAACTTGTGCACAGAGATACAAACTGCATCATCTTTAAACTTGGAGTTAAAAGGTGGGTAGATAGATAGATAGATAACTACAGTGAACATAGGCTAACTTGTGACTTAAAGTTTTAATTTAAAAGGTTACTTATGTGCCTACATATTCAATGGTAAAATAGCTAAATTTTATGTTTTCACAGTGGAGTGTCTTAGAGCAGTGCCAACAACAAAGCACAGTTACTTGTGGTCCTGTAACATGAACCTTGTGTCAATTTATATAAAGTTTGAAAACAGTAAGGCTTATCTATATGGTGTCAGAATAGTTGCTTGGTGGGGAGAGGATATCTGGAAAAGAGGTACCTGGTAGGGTTCTGGGAAGCAGATAAGGCCTTAACTTGGATGTTGATTATATGAATGTATGTCAGATTTGTGAAAACTGATCAACCTGTATGATTTGTGCCCTTTTCTACATGTATGTTGTAATTCAAAGGTTACTTAGTAGGTAGTGTTTTGTATTTTAAGTAGTATTAATGTCTGTTCATCTTGAAGTAGAAGAGGAATGTCCCCAAGTAGCTGTCCCTTGGATTAAAGATAATTTTTCACATTTAATTGAGAGAGCATTTTGATTTAGTATTTGTGAATACACACTTTTTTGTCTGTGTGTGGGGTTGTTACACCACTTAGCTACATCCCCAGCTATTTTAAAATTTTTTTATGTTCCGACAGTCTTGTTAGGAAACTAAGTTGCCCAGGCAAGAATCAAATCTGTGATCCTCTTGCTTTTGCAAGTATGTGCCACCATACCCAGCCTGAATGAATACTACACCCTGCTTACATAACATACATTTTTAATCACAGTTTTGTATAATGTCAGTTGCATCTTATAAACCTGTGTAATTCTTAGGTTTGGTTTGGTTTGGGTTTTTGTTTGTTTGTTTGTTTTGAGACAGGATGTCTCTATGCAATTCAGGCTGGCCTTGAGTTCACTTTGTAGCCCAGGCTGGTCTCGAACTTGAAATGGTCCTCCTGCCTCAGCCTCCTGAGTACTGGGATTACAGGCATGAGCTACCACACCCAACTCTGGTTTGGTTTTTGAGACAGGATCTCATTGTAGTTCAGACTAGCTTTGAAATCACTATGTAGCCTACACTGGGCTTGAATTTGCTGTGATCCTCCTGCTTCAGCCTCCCAAGTGGTAGGATTATAGGCATGTACCTCCACGGCCTTTGATCAATTTTTTTAAAAAATGTGATGTATAATTTTTTGTGTGTGTGTGTGATGTATAGTTTTAAATTTAGTTATGGTCTACAGCTATAGCTTAGTGATAGAGTACCTGCTTAGGCTAATATGAAATCCTGAGTTCTATCCCTGGCAACACAAAACAAATTAAATAAATTTTATTGCAATTATATTTTTGTCTGAATAAAAAGTTTTTGTTTTGCTTTTTTCCAGTGCTGAGGATTGAACCCAGGGCCTCATATACACTACGCAGGTGCTCTACCACTGAGCTATGTCCCTGGCCCTTTATCTGTGATTTGTTGATTACTTATAGGGTCTGTGTCAGATTTTACCAGTTACAGCTTTTGTCCTTGTGAATGTTTTTTTCTGTAACCATTTGTTTATACAGTGTTTGTATAACTTTCCTAAGTCAAGTTTTATGCAATTGTTTTTTAATATGACTGAGTTTTATCAAGAAAATTTTCTTCTTTGAAATTTTTTTTTCTTTTTTTACCAGTACCGGGGATCAAACTCATGACCACACACTTGCAAGGCAGGCACTTATGTCACTGAGCTAAATCCCCAGCTCCTTCTTCTTTGAATTTAAGACATGTTATTCTATTCAGATTTTGCCATAAATTTAGTGGTTTTATTTGGGGTTATTTCTGTGTTCTATAATTTTTCCTGGTTAGTTTTTTTCTAGTGATTGTCAAATCATGGAAATGGGCTCTTCAGTTAGTTTTGTTGCTGTTCTTGGATTGAGCCCAGGGTTTTCACACTGAGCAGCATCTCCAGTTTTAGTTGTTTTTTTTTTTTTTTTTTTTTTTTTTTAAGGAAGCAGAACCTCACCAAGTTGCCCTAGCTGGGCTCAAACTTGTTTTCCTCCTGCCTCAGCCTCAGCATGCATCACCATATCCACCTTCAGTTTTTTGGTTTTTTTCTTTTTTGGTACTGGGAACCAAACTTACAACTTTGCACTTGTCAGGCAGGTGCCATGCTGCTGAGCTGTATCCTTGGCACTTTGGTTATTTTTTGTCCACATTAATTTTCATCATTTTAACTAATATTAGAATTCACTGTAGATAGAATAAAAACTGGTAAATGTTTATTAGTAGTTTTTGGAGCAGGTAGTTTTGGACAAAAGCAGGTCAGAATGCACTCCAGGGCAAGAATCTCATTTGTTAGCCTTCCTGCTCAGTGTGTCTCTACTTTTTCTTGATTTGTAGGCAGCATTACAGAAACAACAAGATGTAACAGTGGCTGGGGCTTCTTTGCCTACTTCATCAAAAGTGAATGCAGTTGTCACAAGTGATAAAGTGTCAGTTAATGGACAGGCCAAAACCCATACAGACAATTGTGAAAAGGAACTTGAGCCAGAAGCTGCAGAAGAAGTCCTGGAGAATGGACCAAAAGGTATGATTTGGTGTATGTGTTCACTCATTCAGGTGTTGTAACTCAGATCCCATGAAAAGCAGATGTCAGAAGCTCTTGTGACTAGCTTGTGAGAACTGTTAAGTATTTGAGAGTGAGGACACTTAATCTCTTAAGTTGGAATCTGATACTTATGGTGAGCCTTAGCTTAGTTTAGAACAGCAAATCAGATGTCTTTTGGGCACTCTTAGGGCAAAACATATCTTTCATCTGTCTGTCTCTCTCTTAGTTCACAAACTTTATTCTTTCCATGACAGTATACATTACTAATGTAAACTGGTTTCTGTGGGTCAGGTATTCAAAACTGCTAAACTGAATGGTACTGGTTAGGGTCTGTTGTGAGGTTGCAGTCCAGATGTTGACTGGCAGTGTGGTCATCTGAAGGTGTGACTAGCACTAGAGGACTTGCTTCCAAAGTGTTCTGTACCCTGTTGGCAGTCAGGTTGGTGCAGGATGTTGACAGAAGGTGTTTCTTGCCTGCGAAGCCTCTTCATGGGACTGTATGAGTCTCAACACAAAGTGGTTGGCATCCCTGAGAGCACATTACCCTAAAGAGAATCAGGCGAAGGCGACAGTGCTTTTAGGCCCTGACTTTGGAAGTAATCATCAGCCATTCCACTATTTTCTAAGCTGATCCATGGTACTGAGGGTGGAAACCTCATAAGGTGTGAGAGCCATACAAGAGGATCTCTGGGGCCATCCTGAAAGCTGGCTACAATACACTATTACGGCATACTTTGACACTGAAGTATCATATTGCCCCATACAGTAACCAAGCATTTCTGAAGCTCTGCTCACTTTCCATGGGTAATTCATTCATTTATTCAGCATGTGCTTGAAGATTTTCTGAGCTCTGGGAATACAGTAATGAGGAAGAGCAATGCATGTAAGATGTAAGTTGTTGCTGTGAAGTAGTATAGTGGAGAGAGGGGTCCTATAATTATAAGATCATTTAATGTGATCTCAGAGAGGTCAAAACTTTCTTGAGAAAGGGGATGTTTGAGCTAAGACAGAGCTGGAGCAAGAGTAGGAGTTCAGAGAACAGTACATTTCAGTGACAATGATTAGAGATGGTGGAGTGACTCATAAGAAACCTGGTTTCAGAGATCTTCCCTGGATTTTTAGAGCCAGTAACAGGAAATAGCGTTAGAAAAGTCCTTGAAATCCTTAATTTATGACTTCTCTTTTTTTCTTATGAACAATTTTTAGCAGTGTTTTAAAGAGGAAATCTTTTGTCAGAGGTTCTATGACTTAACTTTGGGGAACATGCTAAGTAGACCATTACACATAGATACTGCTCAATAATAAGACCATACCTCTTTCCTCAGTCCCCACTGGTTCTAATGTTGTCCAGATTTTTCTGTTTCTTTGAACTCCATTAGAAAAGACCCCCTGGCCTGGCATGGTGGTGCATGCCTATAATTCCATTACTCAGGAAGTGGAGAGGCAGAGGCAGTAGGATCACTGTGATTTTGAGGCCAGCCTGGGCCACAAAGTGAGGTCAAGGCCAACCTGAACTGCATAGTGAAATTCTGTCTCGAAAAGACAAATAAAACAGACAAACAAAAGACCCTAGAATTTTGAGACACTTTGAGGTCAACACTATTTTTCAACAGATAAACTGAAATCAAGCCTTTATTGCAAGGTCCAGACCTTTATTGCAAGTTTAAAATCTCTCTCTTCCTTGCTGGAATATTTTCCTAGCTCTGAAGTTTTCAAGATCATTCTTAAATCCCTATATGTAGTTGATTATTTAAAAAAATTACTGTCAAAAGGACCAGGAATATAATATAGCTCAGCAGCACAAGTGCCTGCCTGGCAAGTGTGAGATCATGATTTGATCCCTCTACCAAAAAAAAAAATTCATTGTCAAAATTGTGGATTCCATTTCTTATTTGTAGTAGTATAAAATTCACATGACCTTGTTAAATGTAGTAACCAAGAGAGAGATCTCCATTTAGAGCCTTATCAATTCCCTCTCTCCTTGGTGCCTGCATGCACCGGGCAGGTAGCAAACATTGATGTGTACAGGGTGGAGGATTTTTTTCTTCAGCTTTTGTAATTCTTGTTTGCCTTTAGAATCTCTTCCAGTCATAGCAGCTCCATCCATGTGGACCCGTCCCCAGATCAAAGACTTTAAAGAGAAGATTCGGCAGGATGCAGACTCTGTGATTACAGTGGGTCGAGGAGAAGTGGTCACTGTTCGAGTCCCCACCCACGAAGAAGGATCTTACCTCTTTTGGGAATTTGCTACAGACAATTATGACATTGGGTTTGGGGTGTACTTTGAATGGACAGATTCTCCAAACACTGCTGTCAGTGTGCATGTCAGCGAGTCCAGTGATGATGACGAGGAGGAGGAAGGTAGAACCATTGGTCTGTGTTCGGGAGCTTTTGGGTTGTATATTAGCAAAAATGGTACATAGTTCAAATGTTAACCAGCCATATACTTTCTGATTAACACTTCATGGACAGGGAACAATTGTTTCATTAGGCAACTGTCTCAGTTACTTTCTTATTGCTGAGACAAAATGCTAACACTCAAAAGTTAAAGAAGGAGAGGCTTCAGTCTTTTGTCATCTGGCTCCAAGCAGGGAGGCATGCCAGATGGGCCTAGCAGAGGATAAACAGTCTACGGCAGGACAGGGAGGAAGCAGTGAATGCTTAAGAAAAGAGGAAGGGAGTTACAGCCTTCCACGGGCACACCCACAATGACTCCCTTTTCTCACCAGGCTTCACCTCCCAACATCACACCCTGCCATAACCCTATCAGTGTCACACACCTGTGATCCAGTTACCTCCAGAAGCCCCCACCAAGAGTGTGTGAAGCTGGGGGACATCTAGATATGAGCCACAATAGCTGTTTCAACTGAAAAGTCTGCAGGTGGCCAACCTCCTTAGGGAACTGTGGTCTGAGCATAAATCTTTGTAAATGTCAAGAAAATCTATTTGGTAATTTGCTGTTTCACTTCTTTAATTTTTGTCATTGATTGGTTGACTTTCGGTTTTGGTTTTTAAGTTTTTGAGACAAAGGTGTTGCTATTTAGTCTGTGGAGTCACTGTGGAGCCTCAAACTTGTGATCCTCCTGTCTCAGCTTCCTCAGTGCTGGGATTACAAGTGTGTGCCACCACAACTGTTCTGTTTCACTACATTCCAGATACTATTTTACTTCCAGCCTTGTATGTTGAAAAGTCAACTATGTAGGCTCACTCAGATTTTTTTTTTTTTTGACAGAAGGTCACTGTATTGCCTAGTCTGGTCCTGAACACTTGAACTCAGGCAATTCTTCTGCCTCAAATTTCTGAATAACTGGGAATTTTTAAAGACAGAAGTGAGGATTTCTCTCAATCCTGTACTTTATTTAAATTTATGTTTCTGATTGTTTGTTAGGTCATTTTTCAAAAGCTTTTAATGTAAATTGAAAAATTTACTATAACATCCCACCTAAAATTTTTCAGTTGTTCTTCTCTAGAGTGTAATTTTCATATAGTTAAATCAGATGTTTTAAAGGATAGTCTAAACTGTCTCAGTCTAGGAAATAGGCTATAAAGCATGTTTATTGAGGAAGTGTTCCTTGATTCTGTGGGTGAGAAAAGTGAGAGCTTGAAATTGTGCCCATGCCTAATAAGCATTCACTCGAAGTGTTGTGGGATGAGGACTCAGCCCCAGAATGGGAAGGCACCATGTCTCATTCCTTGGGACTAAGTGGCCTTTCTGGTGACCCGATGACAGAGTGCTTGTTCATGAAGAGAGGGTAAATTTATTTTTCTTTTTTGAGTTTTTGAGACAGGTCTCGCTATGTAGTTCAGGCTGGCCTTAAACTCATAGCCGTCCTCCTGCCTCAGCCGGGGATCACAGGCATGTGCACCATGCTTCCTACTCCCTAGTTTCTCTCTAGCTTGAAAGTATATGAATAGGCATAAAAGTTGAGTGAGCTCTGAAGATTGACAGGTGTTGAATCGTATTATTGTACCATGCTGCTCTGGGACCCTGAGTCATGTATGGAAACACACACAGCAGATACACCATAAGCATTTTCTTGAAATTAAATATAATATTCAGTTTAACACTGAATTTTTTTTTTATTTAGAGAAAGGGTCATGATGTAAGGTCCAGGTTGGCCTTGAACTCCTCATCCTCCTACATGAGCTTTCTTGAGTGCCACCATACCCAGCCCTTAATGTTTAATACTAATCAGAGAGGTTTTCAGCTTCAAGACATTTATGCCATAAGTGTCCCAGGAACCCCAGTAGGCTTTCACTGTGACTCACTCCAGAAGGAGATCAGAAGACTCCTCACCAGGGCCTGGGGATTTAGCTCAGCGGCATAAGCGCCTGCCTTGCAAGCAGGCGGTCGTGTGTTCAATCCCTGGTACCAATAAAAAAACAAAAAAGACCAAAAAAAAAAAAAGACTCCTCACCCACAAGTGCACATTTTAGCTGGTAAATACAGAAGCATGCACTTCTATGTGTTACATGGCATTTTGTTTTCAGCAATCTTTATTCCTAAATGCTGTGAGCAAGGAAAAACATTGCCTACAAATCCTACCAAGAGAAAAGAAAAAATACAAAAAGGAAGAAGTGAGGTGTCCCCGAGCTGATGGCTAGTTGGGTGCATGGCCATTTTCTCAGGTGTCCTTTGGCAGCATGTTAGCTCTGGGCAGTTCATGAGAAAGAGCTTTGTGGGTAACATAAGAATTTCTGGGCTAGGAGTGTCACTCAGTGGTAAAACTTTTGCTTTGGATTTGCAAAGCCCTGGATTCTATCCCTGGAATCGCAAAACAAAACAAGAAGAACAGCACATAGTGGGCCCAGGGGTGCACACCTCTAATCCCAGCTGCGAGGAGACTGAGGCAGAAGGATTACAAGTTTGAGGCCAGCCTGAATAATTTAGCAAGACCTTGTCTCAAAGCAAAAAGGACTGAAGATGTAGCTCTGGGTTCAGTCCTCAGTACTGGGTAGAAGGTGGGCAGAGAATGGATGACAACCCCCCTACAAAATAGAAACATACAAAAAAATCCTCTCTTTAGAAATCAGTTGAGATAGTATAATTTTCCTATCTTCCCTGCTAGAGATGTTTTTGAAGAAGGTTGCTTCCTACTACGTAGTCTCAGCCCTCAGCTGATGGTAGTCTTTGGGTTATTGATACTGAAAATGTGCTAAATTGGCTGAGGTGGATTTTAGAGGTGAGAACCTTAATGTCTTGACTTTAACTCTGATGTACTGTGTCCCTTCTAGGAAAGACGACATGACCTGCCTTTATGCCATTCCTAATCCTAAATTAGCCAGTAAATCTAATCCAGTTAAACCCTTATATTAACAGGAACATAATGCTCCCAAAGACTGTTCCTCTAGGAGTGCATATAACTGTATCCCATCTAGACTCCTAGTTCCCAAATCTTACTTGTAAGCTCCAGGACATTAGTGCTTCTGCCCTAGAAGGCTACTGTGGATAATGTGCATTTTATGGGGCTTCCCTGTGGCTTGCTTTCAGGTAGAAGGAGAATTCAGAGTTTGCATGATTTGATTTTGGGCTTATCTTTATATGAGTGTCATCTACCTTTTTAAAAAATAAACTATCACTTTTCTTTATGAGAAAAGGCCTCCCTCTAAATCAGTCTGGTCTTGAACTCACTGTGTTAGCCCAGGCTAGCTTTGAACTCATAATGGTTTTCCTGCCTCTGCCTCCCGATTGCTGGGATTATAGGTGTATGCCACCACACCTGAAAAAATAAATTTTGTTTTTCTTTCTTTCTTTTTTTTTTTTTTGAGACAGGGTCTCACTATGAGTTCAGGCTGCCCTTGAACTCACTTTGTAGCCCAGGCTGGTCGTGAACTCACAATGATCCTGCTGCCTTTTAACCTCCCGAGTGCTAGAATTAGGGGTGTGTACTACCATACTTGACCAAAAATAAACTTTATCGAATAATTTTTGGAAAATTTAAATGTGGTACAAAGAACACTGGTATATCCTGTTATTAATTTCTTACCATGTACTATGGTACATTCATCTTAACTAATGAACCAATATTAAAACATTATTACTATCTGAAGTTCATATTCAAATTCTTTAGTTTTTACCTATGTTCCAGGATCTAGTGTAGAACACCATGTTGTAGTTTATTCATAATCAGTTTGTGTAGCTATGAAGCATTTCTCAAGACTTTCTTTGCATTGAGTTCATGATAGTGGTTATTGATAAGTATCACTCAATTAACTCATATCCCTAAAACTCACTCTCTGGTGTCATAAACCTGAATTATTTGTATTCTATATGGAATATTTCCTTTCCCTGTTTTCCTTGACAGGATGTTCATATTTAATACATTGAACGGAGATTTTAGGTGGCATAATTTTCTTATTTCTGTAGGTTTTGGAGGTATTTTTCTTTTCGTAAGTTTTTATCATTATGGCTCAGAAAACTGATAATTCAGACAGCTTGTGATCAGAGCTAGTATTTTTGTTTGTTTGTTTGTTTGTTGCCACTTGGATCATCTCTGTGCTTAGAAGGCTTAGTGGCAATAATTGCATCTGTAGGGAGTCTCTGAATGCCTCTCTACTGTGGTTTTTAAAATTTTACTCTTACACATTTAAGATAGACAAAAAGTAATAGGCATCATAAGCTACCATTTCTCATTCCTAAATAGGTAGAAGGAGGGGAGGGGAGACACATGTTTTAGAAGAGGAGATCAGAACAGTGTTTTGCTTGGTCTTACTCAGATGAGCGAGATACTTTCTATTGGAAAGGAATTAGGAATCGAATGGAGATGGAGAGGGAAAATGGGGCCCAGTAATAGGAACATTGGTAAGACAGAGAAGGCTGAGAGGCAGGCTGCTGCCACTGCCAGATGTTCACTAAGTCAGTTCCCTTGCAGTGGGTAGGTATGGATGAATGAATGTGTGGTACGCACTCGTAGCCACATAAGTAATAGAAGCTTTGGGACAGTTCCTAGTAAGAACAGTTATAAAGGAAGACCAGAGTTTAATTGCTCAATACAAAGGTGATTTTTCTTTTTCTTTTTTTTTTTTTTTTTTTGTCTTTTTCATTTTTATCGGTACCAGGGATCGAACTCACGACTGCCTGCTTGCAAGGCAGGCGCTTACGCCACTGAGCTAAATCCCCAGCCCCACAAAGGTGATTTTTCCAAACCTGTTCTTTTACTTGTCTGTATTCTTTCTTGCAGAAAACATCACTTGTGAAGAGAAAGCCAAAAAGAATGCCAACAAACCTCTGCTGGATGAGATTGTGCCTGTGTATCGACGGGACTGTCACGAGGAAGTATATGCTGGCAGCCACCAGTATCCAGGGAGAGGAGTCTACCTCCTCAAGTTTGACAACTCCTACTCTTTGTGGAGGTCCAAATCAGTCTACTACAGAGTCTATTATACTAGATAAAATTGTTACCATACCTGGAATCTAGGGTTGGGCAGAAGATGGCATTTAGTCTTTACTTTTGTGGAACGTTGGAGTCAATGTTTACCTGAAAGATTTTAGTCTGATGGTTTGTGAACTCTTGTTGGGAATCAGGATTTCCTTGAAACTGTTAGCATTAATACTTTGGTGTTGAGTAGGATTCCTCAAACTCATCTAGCCCTGGGGTGCTGACCAGCAGAAGTACTAGTGGATGCTAAAGTTATATGATCTGTATGTTAAAATTCAGAGTCCTCAAAACAAAATATGCTGTTGCTGCCTGCTCCTTGTACTTTATTGGAGCCTGTAGTTACAGTGCCCTCTAATTGGAAGTGCTTATGTGAATATTCTACATCAGAGGCAGCTGGCTTTGATTGAAGGTCACCATTATTACAACTTAAAAACAGAAGACCTCACAGATTATAGTACAAAAAGAAATTGCTTTAATTTGAATTCCCTGAGTGATGCAGATTATTTTTATTTTAGGTGCACCTGTTTATGTTTAATTCAGAGTTATATTACAGAGAATTATTTTCTGAGATAAATTTAGAATATTCAGGTCCAATAGATAGGTAAAGTGACAGAGTATAAAAAACACCTCATATGAGTTCGATCCCTGGTACAAAAATAATAATAATAATAAAAATAAAAAACACCTCAGACACCCTTCTTCACAGCTTTCAGACCTTTTCATTTGGTATCATGCCACCTGTACCAAAACAAAACCAACTAATTTTTGTTATGATTTGGCTTTATAGAGCATCTCACATTGAAACTTTTCTACACAAAGTATAGAATTTGGAATTTTGTGAACTCAAACTGATACTTAATGAGTTAAAGTACATAAACTTATTTAAAAATAATTCAGTGTTTGGGGAGTAACATTATACTAATATGGAATTCACTGCCAGAGACAGTCCATTTTCTTTTCATTTGTTAACAAGGCAAAACCCTACATGATTCCAGTTGGACTTAGTAGAATTGGAAATGCTTATACTCATGCTTACATTTTATAGCTTTAATCTGTATTTTATGTCTCTAGTCATGGGAAAAGTTACATCTTTTTCTTAATGAAAACAAATATGGATTAATTGCTTCAAATTCATGTAAGTGATGTCTAGAGATTCTTCTTTTAAGAAGGGAGGGTGGTATAGATAGAAAATGACAACACTTAGTGTCATTGTTACATATTGTACTGAAAGATTTAGACTTAAAATTTGAAATCATAAAACACTTCTTACAGGAGGTATTCCATGGTTAGCTACAGTATAGTTCACTACATACCAGCTGTTTGAGTTTTTTGTGTGCTGAATTTATTTTTTTAATACCTGGTTTTGTATGTATCTAACTTCATTCCCTTTTGGTTGTTCGGAAAACTGGATTATCTTTCTCCTGAGCAGAGCTCAATTTGTGTTTTTAAATTTTGATTGAGAAGTAGTCTCCATGTCCACACTGTTACATCCGGAGCGCTTGTTAGCCTGGCCCACAGTGCTCATCTACATGTGGTATAGAAAACTCAGAGTTAGGCACTTCCTGGCTTTTTTTTAAACGAGAAAAATACTGTATTTAAAATGTAAAATAAACTTTTAAAAAGCAGGCATTAATATATATTTCTTCCAGCCTTTGATTACGGATTTGTCCTTGCACATTTAAGGTGAATTATCTTCAAAAAATATTGTTCTTGGGAGCAGTGTATATTACTTAACATAGTAGTTTCTGTCACAGTAATGTCAGAACATTCTTGGTTTTAAACTTTTTTATTGCCTTTGGCTGTTGATAAATACAGTACAAATGCAATTTCAAAAAAATCTTGAAAATAATATATTTAACCAATTAAAATGTTTATCTGTAAGTTGTTGATGCTTCGTTAATGTAGTTTCTGAGGCAGTAGTACAGTATGTCATCATTTGAGCAGAGTAAAAACAATTGTTTTAAGTGATTTTTCTGCTTATATAGTTGAAAACAAATACTTTCTGGCTGATTAGTGTTGGTTGAGAAGTACCATGTGAATAGACTGAAACATTTCCAGACCAATGCAAAGGAAAGTGCTGGCTTTTTTTTTTTTTTTTTTTTTTTTTTATTTAAGGAGAAAAAAGAAAAAAAAAAAAAACAGAAAAAGGGTACAAGTTATACAGAACTTCAGAAAAAATAAACAGTAGGAAATCACTAGTTAATTACATATTGTCATCTTAGAAATAGTTGTTGAAGTTACAAAATTAAAGCATATAGAGGGGACTTTCAAACAGTGAGACTGCAAACAGTTTTGTTCAATGATCCAACAAAACTCAGTAATATGGTTATCTATCTTATATATTTAAATATATATGTAGTTATATCTTTTAGAGAGCTTTCTTTTCCTTTCTTTTGTACAATGACAATTACACATTTTGGGTTTTATTACTCCCACAGTTCTTATTACTTTTTTTTTTTTTTTTTTTTTGAAGAAAGTAAAACCAAATGTGACATACCAGGACAGAGTCAGTCGAATCAAAAGGATGGACATAATACATAACGTAAAAACAAAATACAAGGTGATCAACAATGATTACCATACTGCCTCTTGCCATCTTAAGAAGAATTGCCTAAATCATCAGTTATAATAAAATTGAACAAAACAGTAAAGAATAAGACCAATAAAACCAAAACATTGGAGACATTAGAGGACTTCAAAAGAAGATAATAGTCAACCAGAATGAGCATCGCAGTGAATCTTACTGTCTTCATAGTTGTTGCCTATACTTTCAAACTTGGTACTATCAAGCATAACAGAATAGAGGAAAATCAGTCAAAACAAGATGGTGAGAGCAATACAGAGTTTCAAATCAAGTTAATAGGAAATCAGAGTGGGTTACTATAATATATCCTGCTATTTTTATTTATTTTTCCCTTAATTAAAAGGATAAAAATGAAAAAGTAGATAATAAAAAGGAGATTGAGATAAAAAGAGGGCATAACAACAAAACAGCGCAGGTCAAAACAGCCATTTAAGCAAAATAGTGTTTCACCACAAGATAATCTCGACATAATAGTGGTTACCATAGTGTCTCTTCCCTTAAAATCTTTGGGTATAACTTCGTATACTGTAGCATCAAACATATCAAGACAATGTAAAACCGTTCAAAAGAATGACAGTATTACAGGGTATTTAGAATCAACTAACAGAAAATGAACAATGGTTTCTGTATAATCTCCTTGTCTATAAAAGTTTTTGTTTATATTATCACATATAATAAAATCCAATAAGATACAACACGTTAAAACCGATGGAGACAGAAGAACAAAAGCTTGATGGGACTTCAAAACAAGAGGATATTAAATCAGCACTACCTATTATGATATCTTGTTTTCTCCAAAATGGCTGTTCCTACCATCCAACCTTCTCTGCCTCATTTCTTTGAGCTCTTTTTCTGTCATTAGTTGTCAGTTTGTCCTCTTCATTTCGCTTTCTGCTCCATTCATTGTGACTCCGCCACTGTTTCTGGAATCTTGGTATTTTTCATTTTTAGAATATCCTGTAGTAATCTCTGTAGAGTTGAATTGGTGTTTGCAAATTCCCCTAGTTCATCTTTATCCTGGAAGCACCTTGTTTTTCCATCAATTTCTAGGGACAGTTGTGCAGGATATATCAATCTTGGCTGGAGGTTATTATCTTTCAAAGCTTGAATTTTTTCCCCCCATGCTCTTCGTGATTTGATGGTTTGTGCCGAGAAGTCTGCTGTAATTCTGATGGGTGTTCCCTTGTAAGTGATCTGTTTCTTGTCTTTGACGGCTTTTAATATTCTGTTCTTATATTGGATTTCTGGAATTTTGATTATTATATGCCTGGTTGTAGCTCCGTTTGGGTTGTAGGTGGCTGGGATCCTGTATGCCTCATACATCTGAGTATCTTTACCTTTTGCTAAATTAGGGAAATTCTGGATTATTTCTGTGAATAGCTTTTGTAGTTCATTTGTTTGTGTCCCTACTTCTTTTATGTTCTTAATTCTTAAGTTATAGATCCTCTTAACATCTTCTAACCTTTGTATTATTGCTGTTTGTTTTCTTGTTATTTTTAAGAAGTGTTTCATTTCATGCTCCCACCTTACAAATCTGTCCTCCAGTTCTGATAAGCTATCCTTAGTTTCTTTCAAGCTGTTATGCCAGCTTTCAATAGAGTTTTTAGTTTCCTGGTAATCTCTTTGAACCAGCTTCATGTATTCTATGTTTTCTCTATTTTCTCCATCAAACAATTCTCCCCTTTTTTTCTGTTCCTCCATTCCACCATCTGTTTTTTCTTGGGCGGTGCTTAGCATTTCTCTAACTGTTCTACTTATATTTTGCTTTATTTCATTAAATACTTCATTTTTGAACTCGTCTATGAGGCTCTGGAGATACCGCTTTATATCTATAGGTGCTGTGTCTGATATTGCATGTTTTCTGTCTTCATTCTCTTTTGCATTTCCCTTTCCTGGATCAGTGTTCTCAGGATTGGGGACTGAGGACCCTTTCTTGTTGCTCCCTTTTCCCATACTTTTTGTTCCTTCCATACAAGCATATGTAGGAGGCCTAGTTTTTTGGTTTTTTTTTTTTCTCTTTGTCTGTTACAGTTTGTTTAAATCTGCCGGCTAGGTGTTCCCGCCCACTGCAGTGTATTGGGAAGACACAGACCTGGGCAGCCTCTGCTGGGCCCCGCCCTCCAGGTCAACCTACTGAATGCTTCACTGCTAGAGTGCACCGCCAGGTGCAGGGACCTGATTTGGGCTAGCCTACTTGATCTTAGTCCACGGCATCACCAGGTCAAGCGCTCCCCACCACTCCCGCTTGAGAGGTGAATATGCAACTAAAGTCACTGCAGGGCCCTGTTCCGGCTAGTCTACTCGTTCCCAGAATATCCTCTGTTGGAGCCTCCTAGTCTATGAAAGGGTCCCCATTTCTCTCACTCACTGCAGGTCGATGCGGGGCTCCCGTTTGGTTCGCGGATTCCAGTTCTCAGAGCTTTCGTGCGTCTCTCTCCCTGCCGTGCGGATTGGGGTGCAGTATCGGCAGCAGGAAATTCAAATCACGACTTCCAATGGCACGGGATCCAGCTTCCACACTGGGATTTTATCTGTTCCTGTTATAGCATCAGGATTGCATTTCCAGTTGGTTTCTCTCAGCTTAGTTCATTCCTGGGTCGGGAGGGTACATCTCCCCTCACGAAGGACTCCTCACACGGCACCGCCCCTGGATTCTAAACTGGTAATCTCAGAGAGCCTCCGTGGCTGCTGTTATCTGTCCGCCATGTTCTCCCGGAAGTCTTGGTGCTGGCTTTTCTTACTGAAGATGACTGGGTTAGAGCAGTGCTTCCCAGTACCACCTTGTACAGTATCATCTTCAACATACATAGAGATGGCCTGAGGTTCTGTGTTTTGTTTTGTTTTTCTGGTTTTTTTTGAAACAATCTTGCTTTATATTCCAAGCCAGCCATGAACTCCCTGTATAGCCCAGGCTGACCTTAAACTTGCCCTGATCTTTCTGCCTTGGCCTTCAACTGCTAGGATTGCCCTGTAAGAGAGAGCCTGTTTTTACAGTGGCTTGGGAGGTATAGTTCTTGCTCAGGCAGTGATTGAGAGAATCATGCTAGGCTTCTCACTGTGACCTCATGAAATTACAGGCTGATTGGGGGATTAATTTTTTTTTTAAATTGGGAGAGGCAGAATGAGTGACCATCTTGGTACAGAAGGTGTGTGGTCCCATGAAGCCAGGATGGAGAACTGGTAAGAAGAGCTTTGGGTGTTGGCACACGCTGGGGACGATGCTGCCATGTCTGTGGAAGAGAAGGGGCAGCCATTCAGAGTTATAATGAATGTGAGTGATTCACTGGGGCTCAAATGGTGACAGTCTCTGACCAAATCCATGGTACTGCGACTTAGCACTTGCCAAGCAATATCCCTGGCCCCAAAATCTTTTTGGTTTTTTTGAGACAGGTTCTCACTATGCATTTCAGGCTGGCCTTCAACTCATTTGTAGCCCAGGCAGGCCTCAAACTCACAGTGATCCCTTGCTTCAGCCTTCCAAATGCTGGGATAATAGGCATGTGCCACCCTGCTCTGCCCCAAATTTTAACTTCGTTCCTATTCACTAACTTTCTAAAATGTGTATGAGTCATTGGCTTGTGTCTTACATATGGAATCTGTGGTGCTTTAACTTTCTTACTGAAGTTTTACTTAAGACTTAGTAGATTGTTTTCCTTCAACACCCTTATTTTGAATTTATTTTGTTGTCATTTCAACTGCTTGCAATTTTGCTTGATTTCAAAGACAGATGGTGTGCTACCCCTTTTTTAAAATTAATATTCCACTTTCAAGTCGTGGTTTGATTTGGTACTTACATCAATATCAGAAAACTAGTGGCTGACTTCTCTTTATCCGGCACTGGCATTTGAATTCAGGCAAACATGGAATAAAAGTTAATGCATTTCTTGGAGCAGAGGTGAAAATCTTATGCACTGGTAGTTTACAAATTGATTTCTTTGTAGTTCAGGCTGGCCTTAGATTTGTAGCAGTCTTCCTGCCTCAATCTCCTGAGTGCTGGGATTACAGATGTGTGCCTCCACACCCAGCCACAAGTTGATTGAT